AATGAAAAACAATTTCAGTTAAATATCTGCCGCGACTGGCATCCTCTTAACCCAATTTTAAAGCACATTTTTAATAGTTTAAAAACGTCAATCGTTTGAGGATCGTTAGTGTAACAGCGGTCCTTAACAGTACCTCACAGGAAGTAATCCATGGGTGTTAAATGACAGCTGCGAGCTGGCCAATAAACGTCACCAAATCGGCTGATAACGCGATGACCGAGCTTAGTGTGAAAAAGATCGATTGTTTCATGGATGGTGTGGCATGTTGCGCCAACCTGCTGGAACCAGAGATTGTGTAAGTGCATTTCGTCTAATAATGGCCACAAAAAACTCCTCAACATGTCTCTATAGCGTTCCCGGTTTACCGTCACGCTGTTATCATCTTCATCTTGAAAAAAGTAGGGACCAATAATCCCATCACTTAAAAAACCACACCAAGCAGTTACTCTTTTTGTAAGCATTGCTTTTTCTATGACGACATGTGAATTTTCAGAGCCCCAAATCCTACAGTTCTGCTTGTAACCTCAGATGGAAAAGGTGATTTGGCGACCAAAATTGTCGTCCGTTTCCAATTGACTTAGAGCTCACACAGAGAAACGATATCGAAGCGGGTGGTAATTTCGTTTCAACTCTTTCACAAGTTGCACCTTGTAAGGAAATAATCCCAGTCGTTATGCACAGAAGTGAGCAGTGGCGGATTTAGAAAGAGGGCGCGGGGTTCGCGGGTTCCCCCTAGACGTCTGACACTTGCTTTTGTAATCTAACACCATTGTGTTGCTTTCTGGCACATCATGGCAACAGAGGCATACTAACTATAAGTTATAGTAGCTATAGGAACTGAGCATTGCGATTTTTGGTATGCTTTGGTATTGCAAACGCTGTCCTCTTCGACATCACTTACGTTTACAGCTTAATTCTTACGATTTATACGTATACATATATGAGTATTGTGACTTGTGACAAATCTAAGTCTAAGCAATATATTAGCTATACAGACTGCACTTAAAAAGTGATTTATGTTCTGTTTGTTGCTCAATAGTAATTTGAAAAATGTGTAAAGTTTGACTAATTTTGTTCGGGGTTGGTGTTGCAGCGAAGCACTATTAGTCTAATTATATTAGACGAAGATACCCCTGGTTTGCGAAATAATTATGAAGTCTGGTTTTATTGCTGCAAGTTGCTCAAGGGGGTATTCAAAACATGGACGGATAAAATGAGTACACCAATTTTTGTGGGAAAACCTTTTATTCGATAACAAATAATAAGAAAACGTGTATTTTGGGATTCAATCTGAATAATTGGCAGGGACGAAAAAAATCTCTTTATAGGATGTTTAAGTATTTATGAAACCTACAAAATGAGACCACACGTAAAAAGGTCCGACTCATAGCGAAAAAAGTTATCGCCGAAAACCAAGGCAAACTGCAGGACTTGACACGTGTTGGTGATGAGACGACGATTTCTTAGCAGATATTTGAAATTCTTCAAATTCGTAGGACTAGTACTTCTAAATAACCATAACAAAATTGGAGTAGATTGGTCAAGTAGTTTGTGAGAATTTCTAATTGTTAATCTCAAGACATCTGTTTTCTGGCCATCACTACTAGTTTTTTTTTACCATTGGGTAACATCACCTTTATTTTTTATTACGGCTGAAATTCTTTGGGGCATACTGTTAACCAAGTTTTGGCAAAAATTTGGTGTGAGACAAGCCCATCTTTCTTGAAGCTTTTGTCTCAGTTCGGTGATTGTACGAGCAGGATGTTGTCGTAGAACCTTTTTCATCTCGTACCACAAAGTTTCAATAGGTGACAGATCTGGACTGCTAGAAACCCATTTCAAAAGTGGCACATTATTTTCTTCCATCCATTTTATAGCCTTTTTTGAGGTATGGCACGCTGCACCATCTTGCTGAAACACAAAATCTTGGCCGGATGTCAAACATTCTTCCATCACTGGTAAAAGCGATTCTTCTAAAATTGCCAAATATTTGTTTGTATCCACATTTCCATCAATAAAATGAAGTTTTCCTACTCCTTTTGATGACATACTGCCCCAGACCATAATGGATGCTGGAAATTTCACTTTTCTCTTCAGACAGTCAACATGGAATGCCTCATTTTTTCTGCGAATAACTTTACTGCGACTGTCACCAACACAAACTTCGAATCGGGCCTCATCACTCCATTGTATTGCACACCATCGTTGAGGTGTCCATTGTCTATGTTCTTTAGCCCATCTAAGCCGAGTTTTCTTTTGCAGTGGAGTTAGTAGTGGCTTTTCTTTGGCCTATAAACAACTTGTGCAACTTTAGGGTTTTTACTTCACAGTTTGTGGGGCTCTCTATGAGTTGTGGACCTCGAAATTCTCCTTCCAACAGCGTCACTCCACAGAGCACTTAATTGTAAATAATTGGCACGCCTGTTTTACTCGATTATTCTTCTTAATGCTCTTCGGTCGGCATTTGTGATTTTACTTTTTTCACATATCGTGGCTTAATATTAACTGAACCAGTTACGTTATCTTCTAACAATATTTCTCATACTGTACCGCGATAATCTAATAAAGTTGCAATTTCTGAGTTTGATTTCCCAGAATTAAAAAAATTAATTATCAGTAACCGAATTTTCTCACTAATAACCTTTCCTCTACCCATTTTGAAAACCCTGACTACCCAAAACTATTTTAAACGTATTCTGACAGCTGTGATTAATAAAAACAATTGTCATGGCTTTTATTTTTCACAGCCACCTATGCGATATAGACTTATTTTGCATTGAAATGAAAATAGGTTGATATGCTGTAATTGCAACATGTGTTATTTTTATGCTGCAAATTTGATTAGGGAGTGATAAAGTTGCTGTTTTCTACTATATATTATCAAAATATTCATTGTTAATATTTTAAACCTATAACACCCTGCTACATTTTTATTATTTGTGTTTGATAAGAAAAAAACTAAGATTTCAATAGTTGGGCCAACTGAAATGGGAAGGAGCTCGTAGATATACGTATAAGTGACTAAGAGGCTGTTACTTTAACCGCCTGTCATATGTACATGGATCCTGTTTTCACTCCATATAAAATACACCCGAATACCCTCTATACGATTATCGAACATGGCAATGTCAATTGTGCAATATATTTAAAATATTCAATTTCATCGGCGTAACCCAGTTTAACGAATAATCATTTTATTTTCAGTTATGGAATTTGAACATCGTCGCTCGATTATCGCTGACATGCCCACCTATTAAAATCCAGCCCTGAAATTTATTGACTGGCCTCTTCATACTTTTTTATGCGAGCAATCATGAAGCGCTACATTTTGTTCCACAGGGTCAAGTGGTGGGAGTTTCAAGAGGAGAAAAGCTACAGTGTCACAGGCAACAGTTTTAGTATCTGGACGGATACCAAATCCTGAATCTCAATTATTGCATGATCTAGATTGTCATTTGAGACTTGTGAACTAGCAACAATCTAACTGCGTCCAGAGTAAAAAGGTGGTGTCAAGTGGGTTGACTCGGCACTTTCCACGCAACGCTGTGTTCAGTGTTTAGAACTATCAGGATTAGAAGCATATAAATGTATTAACAAAAAATGCAACCATCAATTTTTTACCGCTGAAAAAAATGTTTTTTGCTTTCGATTTTTAACCTTAGATCGATTTTCAAAAACTTTTTGGTCCTTCAAATAGTAGCTATGTATTTTCATTTTTTCAAACTCCGATCGGCACTTTCCAAGTTATATAGGGCCCAAGAATTAGCAGTCAGGCAAGCCGACAGACCGACAGACTTTTATCTAGCCATGAAGCTTTTCTAAGCTGTGAAGATAAGAGATAAATCCGTATGTAATAGATGGCAACGAGTAGATGAGACAATTTAGCTGCGCTATCGGTACGAATATCGACCTTGACGAGCATTGATCAAGGTAAAGGAAACTGAATCGTATAACTACCTTCATCGATAGTTTGCCTAGGCGCGTTGGAGAATGCGTAGCACATCAGGGTGCATCCACACATTATTAAAGGTCAAAGGGTTTTAAAGCAGTGCAATAATTTTGAAATTTTTATCATTTACTTATTATGCTTCATTAAGTACTTATACAAAATTTTATTAAAATTTAAACCCATTTAAACTGGGTGTTCGGATTTATATGTCACTTAGTATATATAATAGCTCGACCATACGAAAAACATTGCCGTACATTGTTGGCTACCCTATTGTTGCTAGATAGTGCAGTAAAAACATTGCCCGTTTAGAAACGCGATTAGCAATAGGCAGACATTTCGTAGTGCATGAGTTTGAGTATTCAACATTATACTAGCTTGTACCAGATATTCGTTACACCTCTACTAACGTTATCTACTGAGTTCTGTTAATAAAGTACAGACTGTTACCAACAATTTATAATAGTAAAAGTAATAAAGTCAAATTGAATTAGATTAGATTCACAAGACCTCCGCAAATCGTTAATTGCACCATCATACAATTGGAGTCAAACACTAAATATTCAGGCATGACCTTTGACACCAGACTCAAGTGAGAGCACCAATAAAGAGGGAGAAACTGAACCTCCCACACAAGCAATATTACTGACTATTGGAAAGACCATCAAAGATATCGCTCCATAACAAAGACATGATCTATAATTAAATCTTAAAACCAGTATGGCTCTATGGTTGTCAACTATGGGGCTGCTCCAAGAGCTCCAACATCGAAATTATACAAAGATTCCCAAGTTCCCTAATAGATACATTCATCGCAACCTGAATATTCCTCTGGTTACCGACCAGATCAAGGAAGTAAGCACACAGCCATGAAGAAAGGCTGCAACAACACCCCTATGCAGAAACTCTTCAGCTGCTGGATAACTACAATACCGTATTGGAGAGGACCAATCCGTATGAACGTGTGTAGTGTTTTGTTTCTAAAACAGAGCATCTGCGCAAGTGTCTAGTGATAGTACTAACTATACGTTAAGATCATCTAAATAACATCAATGAGCCGTATTCATACTAGAGAAGCATATCCTTGGAAGCATAAGGTAAAAGTAGAAGGTTTTGCTTCGGAGCAAAAGGTAGAAGCATATCCTTGTTTTCATATTCATAATGATTACCTTACACTCGCGAGGATATCCTCCAAGAAGAAGTAAAGGGTTGACTGGTACTTGTATCTTGAGCGACATGTCCTGACTTATTCCAGCATGTAATTGACGTGGGAGTTCGTTCACTCAGCATCACTGACAGTTGTACTCCAGAGCTTACACAGACAGTTTCGTATTTTTACTGGATACAGTTTTTTATCAAATTAATAAGCATGTCATTCTAAAGTGATGAGGAAACTATAAAAAATAATGGCAACGACCTGCAGTTCATCGAAGATGAAATTGCCGTTGCTCCCATTATTTTGCAAAAGTCACAAGTTACAAAAATAAAAATAAGAATGGACGATGCCTTGAAGAAGGTGATGAAAAAATACGAATCAACATTCGGTAAACCACTAAAGGCTTATTAAAAAAAATCAACAACATGAAATCAAGATTGAAGAAAAAAACAGATCTAAAAAAAACTGGTAATACAGCAATTAAATTGTTAGATTGGGAAAGAAAGTTGCTGAAAGCTATGGAAGGTGACTGTAATCCTAAAATTGGGAAAATTAGAGGTGCGATTCAGGTTGGTAGTGTTCAAGAAGAAGGAAGTGAACTATATACCGAGCGCAGTGAGCAAACAGTTAGTATTACAGCGCCAGCAATTCAGAAGACATTGCCACCAAAAAGAAAATTAGCAACAGAGAAATTCGAAACTGAGGAAACCAAAGGGTTAACTACAAAAGAACTGCAACGTCTAGTGCTATTACAGCAGTACCAAACAAGTATTTTACAACAAGAGTATTATAAAACTAAATTTGAAATGATGCAGCGTCAGAAGCCACCTGTAACTTCTGATGTTCACGAAAATAGGACTTATTATAATTTATAAATACACTTTAATCAGTAAAACTATTTATTATAATACTCAAGTTTCTTCTCATTTGTTGACCTAGTTGGCGGAGAGGAAGTTCGTCATTCTCATGATTTCTTTCATCCTCATCTGGGTCTTGTTCAACTAACTCAAAGTCAGGATCGCCCAAGCTCTTCGCAACATTGTGGAGTACAATACAAGCAATAATTATTGTCGGCACATTTTCCAACTTTACACGGCAAACATACTGTAGGATAGGAAACCGGCGTTTCAGTTGGCCGAAACAGCGTTCAATTATAACTTTTTCTTGTTTTAAAAGCATATTATAATTTATTTCTGTACCTGAAGTAGGATTTCTGAAGGGATTCATAAGGCATGGCTCAATACCATAACCGCCATCGCCAAGTTTGCTTTATTTATTAGTTGTGATCTAGTCTGTGTATTTCTCTATGTTCTGCAATCATGCACTTATCCAGGCCAACTGACATCAACACTAGTGAGCATCTCTCTGGCATGACAAGTGGCTTGCACATTTAAATTAGGTTTCCCTTTTCGCTTGATATACTCATCTCCATGGCGATTTGGTTTCAGGATTCCTATATGTGTACAATCAATTACACCAATTGCTGTCGGAAAGTTATACATGCTTTGCCATATCCGCTTGGCCTCCATCAGTTCGTTCATGGTTGGTAGTTGGAAACTTGATCCATTCGTTCGACTGTGCAACTATGCTGTTCACAACTCTATCCACAGGCTGAGATACCATTGCTTGACTAACACCAAGTTCCTGACCAATACCTTGTTGATATCCAGGGTCACCGAGATAGCGTAGACATATCTTCATTTTATGAATACATGAATGTGCTCCTCATCAAGTTTTCTCATTCTCAACTAAAAATCTGTCCGCAAGCCATTGTACCAAGTGAAGGTAAACGAGGTTTGTACGTTTTAACATCCCTAACATCCACAATTTCCGCCATCATCGTTTGATCGCCTTTCGTTACAAAGTTGAGCCTGCTACTGACCAGACCCAGAATTTTTGAAGGATATGCTTCCGATGCCAAGTATTAGGTGAAGATTATGAGTATCCTTTAACATATGTCACTGCTTTGAAGGATACGCTTATACTCAAAAAGCAAAAGCACTTACTTCAAATTATTATAAATACCATCTGGAGGATTTCCTTCAAAATTTACAAGTACAAGGATATCCTTTGTTTTATGAATACGGCTCAATGTATCACATCTAGTGATAAGTATCAGTTGCAAGAAAACACCTGAAAATTCATGGTTGATCATATTGATCGGTTTTAATATTCTGGCATCAAAACCACTGTAAAAACAGAAAGCCTCTACTGATAACTATACATATGCTTGCTAAAGTTTTCCACGCATTTTCAGAACGTATGAAATTTCAACTGGAGCATAAACAGAACACGAGTAACTCAAGAAAGTTTGACATAGGAGTTAGCTTTCATTAGAAGCAGCTTAAGAGATTATGACTTTAAGTACTCGGGAAAGCAGTTAATGGAACTCTATATGAAACAAATTCTACTAAGCCCTGTGGTATTACTCCGAAGGCAACTAAATAACATCGAGTGGCAAGTAATCCTTCGTGAGAAATTAATGGCAAGCAATTTAGTTTGGCGGTAGCTACTCGTATGTAGGTAATAGGTATGTATGTGTATGCGTCTAGCTACATATACCTGTGGGTCTACATGTACGTATGATAACTGCACGTATGTTGCAGCTAATTTCCTAAATTGGATGAGCTCTCGATTAACCGATTAACGCCGGCATCAAAGCTGCATGGTAAATCATTCAGGGCATATTCAATATTATACCATTGATTAACGTATTCTACTTGAAAATGGCCAACTTAATACTATGTTCCAAAATTATCCGGTATGAATTATCATGGCGTCATCTATGAGAATTTGTCATAGCTATATTTTTCCTCTCCGTAATAATTAGAAATGTTCTTTGAAAAGGATATTGTCTCATAGATGTCACGGTAACCAGCTATATGAGCATATAGCTAGCTACAGAGCCCATGTAGGAGAGATGTCTTTTAAGTTTTGCATATAAAAACATAGTAGGCCGCGCGGATCGAACCTCACTCTTTAGTAAACTTAAATTCAAAGTTTCACAACAATACGAGCAGTGTTCTCACTACAGTGAATTTTTAAGTGTCACCAAGTCATTAGAAAAATGGAACTCAACCGAGAACATTTTTGCGTCATAATTTATTACAACTTTCAGAGACAATTATCGCAACAAGAATAGTTACTGTCTGTTTTCGGCAACGAAGCGCCACATCAGTTGACAATTTCCCGCTGGTATGGAGAATTCAAACGTGGGCGGGTGAGTCTTAGCGACGATCCCAGGGTGGGTGCACCAAAAACGCCAGTCACCCAGGAAAACGTCGATGCTGTGCGCAAACTCATCATTGAAGATAGACATGTGACATATCGCGACATTGAGGCGTCCTGGAAGATCTCAAAGACCACAAATCAAAAAAAAATTACATAAAAAATTAGGAGTAAGAAAATTGGTTTCTCGTTGGATACCCCACCTGTTGACTGAAGAGCAGAAAGCAGCCAGGGTTAATTGGTGTCAAAAACGCTTGACCGTTTCAAATTAAAAAAATGTGTACAGCATTGTTAATGGTGATGAATCGTGAATTTACTGTTATGAACCAGAAAATAAACGACAGTCGGCTGTTTGGGTGTTCCAAGGTGAACAAAAGCCAACAAAAGTCATCCGTTCCCGAAGTGTTTCGAAAAAGATGGACGCGACATTTGTGTCAAAAGCGGGTCATATTGCAACAATTCCTTTTGGTGAGAAAAGAACTGTTACTGGGGATTGGTATACCAGAAGAATCATCCTCCACCAAGACAATGCAAGCTCGCACTCTGCCCCAAAAACAAGGCAGTATTTAACGGAAAAAAACGTGGAATTATTGGACCATCCTCCATATAGTCCGATCTAAGTCCTAACGATTTCCTTACTTTCCCGAAAATTAAAAACAGACTGCGTGGTCAAAGGTTCCAGTCACCAGAAGAAGCAGTTGAGTAAGTACTTCGAAAATTGGTTCGAGCGCATGCAGATCTGTATTAATCTTCGTGGAGAATACTTCTAAAAACAATAAAGACATTTAAAACTACCTACCGTGTTGTTTTATTTCCATATGCAAAACTTAAAAGACATCCCTCGCATCCCCAGACTTATATCAAGAAACAGGAATACTTGATACAAGACAACTTTATTTCTTACATGCCACCACCTTATACCATAAGTATTGTAATAAAAAGAAAAAATCCTATAAACACGAGCATAACACACGATTTCGAATAGGCTCATCTAATATCCAAAGACCACACAAAACATTATTCAAAAAATCTTTTAAATTCTTAGCAGCTAAATTATATAATGTAGTACCAAACGAAATAAAGATACTTAATTTTGGAAAAAAATTTAGAAGAAAATTGAAAGACTGGGTTAGTAATGTGTAGCGAATGACTATACATAATTATAGTATACAGGGTTATCCAAATTAAGTGTCCACCATTAGTAACTTTGTTATTAGTGAAAATACAAAGTTGTTTGAATTAGCAAACTAGTAGCATTTTTAACGCTGGTAAAAATGAGAAATAAAAAAAAACAATTGAGAGTCGTTATTTTGATTTTTTTCAGTAAAATAACATTTTTTTAAATGGAAACCCCTGTATATTATATTATTTTCTGTTAAAGCATCAAATTTTAAACAAAAAAGCTTACAATAACTTTTCTCCTAGGTTACAAATTGTTGAAGTTATGGCCTCCAATCTGAAACAATTAAATTGTATCGACAAACTTTATTTTCAACATCAACTTATAATCTTACAAAATACAATAACAATTTTTTTTAAAGAAGATGCTCGAAAACACCACCTTGTTCTTCAATACATTTTTGGGCACGTTTTTCAACTGCTCGAACTGTCTTAAGTATGGTCCTACCATCTATCTGGGTTATCTTTTCCCTAACTGCAGTCTTTAACGCGTCAAGGTTATCGTACCTTCGCTTGTAAATTTGGTTCTTTAAGTAACCCCACAAGAAGTAATCAAGTGGGTTTAGATCTGGTGATCTGGGAGGCCACTGTATTGGGCCATTTGTTCCTATCCACTGATCATTAAAAGTAGTACTTAGAAAATGATAAGTACCTCTGGAGTTGTGGGCAGGTGCGCCATCTTGCTGAAAATGCAGATGATGTCTACTTATAAGATCCAATTCGTCTAAGAAATTAGTCAGAATTTCTGACATAAATTCCA